ATGACAAAAATACCTAATCACATATCCCTTTCAAACAGCTTTCCCCCTCATCTGTTTCAATGCAGTATACCTTACTTATCCCATCCTTCTCAGTCTCCCCCCAATCCCAATGTTAGTCCTGTTTTACAACAGTGGCACCATGCAGTACTTGTCCTTTTGTGACTGAGATATTTCACTCAGATCCAGTGTCATAATTTTGAATAATATTGCATGAGTTCCTTGTTTTTCATACAGCATAGTATTCCACTGTGCGACTATACCGCAGCTTCTCTATCCATTCATTTGTTGAAGGGCACTTAAGTTGTTTCCAACTCCTTGCTATTGTGAACAAAGCAGAAATAAAAGTCTCCATTTCTACGCAGTCTGGTCTGACTACAGAGGGAAGTAGAAGAAATTCAGTGCTAGAATTCTTGCCATCCATGGGGCATACCCAATTTCATTAACTAGACAATATGCCTCAAATGCAGCTACTATCCTTCTGTAGGTGGAGTCCAGAGTACTATTTCAGTAGAGCTTTAGACTAAAATGGACATGTAAGATAGCTCTGGCCATCTACTTCTGAAAGTAAAAAATGAAAACTCTATCAATCATAATAATCTAATCTAAAACTAGTTGAGTTGGGGACTGACTGTACAGGAGCTAAGAAAGAAACAGGCCTGGCTGCAGCACCAAACCTACAAGTTTATTTTCAACTTATCAACAGTCTTAGACTTCTATGTGAATTCAAGCACCTGTTAAAGTTTAATTATGTGAATTTTTATCACCTATATACTCTGGAGCTTACTATTCTCTGCCCTAAAGAGCCAACGATTCTCTACTGATAGCACCTTCACCTCTTATTCCCTTTTTCGTATATTCATTTACTGTAAGTATTTCTATGTAAGGCTTCAACTTCTAAGGCTATTGCTTCCTTTCCTATGATCTTCTAGCCATAAATCCATCAACTGATTCACTTCTGACTCAGTGACACTAATAGGAAGGACAGAGTAGAAATGTCCCATATGGTTTACAACGTTGTAATCTTTGTATAAGCAGAATGCTGCCTTTTTCTGCTGCACAGAGGTTAGTGGGTTTAAACCTCTAACCTTTTGGTTAGCAGCTAAGAGCTTAACCATTGCATTAACATAGCTTCTTCTCCTTCTAAAATATCCTATTTTAATGCCTACATATTTGCCAGTCTTTTCACAATATTTCTCTTACTGCTAAAATATGTCTCTCCAAAGCCCAATAAGGCTTATTCCAAAAAAAATGGTGATCCAATAAAATGTGGAAATAACAGAACAGTATCATTAATATTACATGCATGTAAAATCTTTAAGATAACTGAAAAGGGATGGATTGCCAAAAATTCACGATAAATTCATGAGGGCATGTATTGCTGATGTCTTATGGCTAAGACCCTGAAAACATCAGAAAGAAGTTTTCTTGTTTTACTGAAGGCACTGGACTGTGTGGATAACATATTATGTATAGCAATACAAAGAATGGGAATTCCAGAACACTTAAATGTGTTCCTGCTGAATATGTATATATAGACCAAGAAGCTGCTGTTCAAACTGAACAAGGGAATACTGACTGAATGGCTTAAAATCAGGAATGATATATTAAATTTGTATGCTGAGCAAATACTCTGAGAAGATGAACTATATGAAGATGAGATATCAAAACTGGAGGAAAACTCTTCATCAGTGCAGATGACCTTACCTGAAGAAAACACACACTTACTGATGAAACTCAAAGACTATAGCTTTTAGGAGGAATTCCATTTCAACAGAAAGAAAACTAAAATGCACACAACTGATCATTAGGCAACACGTTACACGGATCCACAATCAACATCCAAGCAGTAGCAGTAAAAAAAATCACATGACATACTGTAACAGGCAATGTCTTTGACAGAGGTGTCAAGGGCTTCTCTAAAGTGCTAAACAACAAGGATGTCAGTTTAAAGACTAAGGTATGCCTGACCCAAGTCAAAGTATTTTCAATTGCCTCATATGCATGTGAAAGGTAGACAATGAATAAGGAAGAACAAAGAAGTGATGCCTTTGAATGATGGTGTTGGTGAAGAGTGTTGACTATACCATGGACTACCAAGAAAACAAAACACATTTGTCTTGGAATAAAATGTAGAGTACTCCTTTACAAAATTTTGTCAACAAACAAAGATAGAGAAACTGTGGTATATTCACACAATGAAATACTATGCTGCTTTGCAAAACAAGGAACTCATGCAATATTATTAAAAATGGGTGACCCTGGAGGACATTATGCTGAGTGAAGTATCTCAGTTACAAAAGGACAAATACTGCATGGTACACCTGTTGTAAAGCCGGACTGACCTCAGTGTTGGGAGGAGACTGAGAAGGATGTGTACTGCATTGAAACAGACGAGGGAGAAAACGATTTAAGAGAGAAAATTATTAGGTATTTTTGTCATGACAGGAGTCCAGCGCGAAGGCTATATAGTGGAGTGGACCTTGGGGGGAAGGATTGTAAAACAATGAAAGAAATTTTCTTTTACTTTTCCAAGAGGGTGGTGTACTAGGCAGGAGGGTTTTGGGGGGGGGTACAAATAAAGATTTTGTTTTACATACACTGGGCATATTATCAGGAGAAACCAGAGCCTCGAGAAAGATTATGCTTGCTACAGTAGAGGGCCATTAAAAAACAAAAAAAACCAAAACATCTACAACCACGAGAAGATAAAATAGATGAATGGGACTGTCTAAGAATCAAATCCCTATGCGCATCCAGAAACTTCTCTAACAGAGTAAAAAGGGAAGCCACAGACTGGGAAAAAGTATTTGGTAATGACATGTCAGATAAGGGACTTATATCTAGAATTATAAAATACTTGAGCACCACAA